CAACCTTATGCCCAGGTCCTGGAGCTGGAGTCGCCGTTGGCGCCGCTGCCGCACCCAGAGCCCTTGCTGCTGCCTGCACTCAGCAGCCGACTACTAGCACACGCAAGCTGGGACGCTGTGTGCAACCTGGCCTTCACGTGCAGGATATGACGCAGTGCGACGCGGGCCGTGAGTGGAATGGCGCAGGCCATGAGCATGCATGCGGCTCACAGCAGCCCGGCCGTGAGAGAGACTGACTTGAGCGGTTCTGGGTTCCGACCCGGTTCCATCAGGAGCCGCAATTTTTTTCTTTGCAAGCCGCGGGTTGGCAACCACTGCACTATGACCTCCAGATCCTAGGTCATCGTTTCCCATTTTGTATATGTGAAACTGATCCTTCCTAAAGTGGAGTAATTTGCATTTGTTCTTATTGAATTTTATCCTATTTACTTCAGACCATTTCTCCTGATCATCTTGAATTTTAGTCTGAACCTACAAAACACTTGCAACCCTTCCCAGCTTGATGCTGTCTGCAAACTTTGTAAGTGTACTCTCTATGCCATTATCTAAAAAGCGATCGATGAATATCCTAAAAAAAACTGGACTCAGAAGGATCAATTCATGTGGGGAGAGGTGTTCACTTTGTGATTTCCCCAGGGGTACTGGACCCCAGCTCTGCCTCAGAACCCACCTGCAATCCATCCCTTCTCCTAAGCCCTCACATCCACCCTGCCTCTCTCTGCTCTGTTCCACTCCATCCCAGTTCTTCTTCGTTCCTCTCCTCCTTCTTCCCCCCAAGTGTCTCCTCCATGTCGCTATCACTGGTGCACAGGTGGCTCTAGGGGTAGAGGGTGGAGTAAATCTGAAGGGCTGCCGGTGGGTTCTGATTTTTTTTTCAGTGGGTGCTCACAACCCAGAGCACCCACAGAATTGGCAACTATGCCTGGGGGACCTCACTTGATATGACTTCCAGCTTGATTATGAATCACCCTATGGGAATGGTTTTCCAACCAGTTATGCACCAGCTTTACAGAAACTCATCTAGGTTGTATTTCCCTAGTTTGTTTAGGAGAAAATCATGTGAGAGAGTATCAGAAGCCTTACTAAAGTCAAGATATACCACATCTACCACTTCCCCACCATCCACAAGGTTCGCAACCCTTTCAAAGAAAGCTATTAGATTGATTTGGACAATACATGTAAACAGTTTATTGTTTTAAAATCTTTGTTCTCTTGCTCTATGCAGTGTTCTCACTATTAAAAATATACCCTTTGAAGTTTAGAAAAAGCTGTCTGGTCACATTGCATAGACCATTTGTCACAGCCCCCAGAGGCAGAGCTGGAGTGGATAAAATTATGTTGGCCCTGCTAAGGTAGTCAGGGTACTACATAGGAATCTTAGTGTCAGAGGGTATGTCTACACTACCCCGCTAGTGCGAACTAGCGGGGTAATGTATGCATACCGAACGTGCAAATGAAGCCCGGGAATAGCTTGCTAGTCCGAACTATCTAGCCCGTGCCGCGTGTAGCCGCGCAGCACGGGGTTCGAACAAGCCGGCATTTAAAAATGGTGCCGGCCGGCTTATGCAAATAAAGCCCGGGAAATTCAAATCCCGGGCTTCATTTGCACGTTCGGTATGCATACATTACCCCGCTAGTTCGCACTAGCGGGGTAGTGTAGACATACCCTCTGACACTAAGATTCCTATGTAGTACCCTGACTACCTTAGCAGGGCCAACATAATTTTATCCACTCCAGCTCTGCCTCTGGGGGCTGTGACAAATGGTCTATGCAATGTGACCAGACAGCTTTTTCTAAACTTCAAAGGGTATATTTTTCCATCCTGAGAGAGGTGAGATCTTGGGCTTGTCACCTGAGGGGTGAGCTCTGACAGCTGTGTGCTTTACCCTGTAACCATGAGATTATCTCAAGCTTTGGGAGCACTAAACCATGAAAAGAGAGTAAATATATTTTGATACAGTCATTGTACAGC